CTCCAACCCGCATAATACCCACCAGACACACACACACACACACACACACACACACACACACACACACACACACACACACACACACACACACACACACACACACACACACACACACACACACACACACACACACACAAGTCAAGCTGTCAATCTGTCAAGCTCTCTCTTTCGCCGAATTTATTCTTCCTTCCTTTCTTTCTTTCTTTCTTTCTGTTTCTCCTGCTGTGCCTCTCAAGATGGCCCAAGCCCCCCTTCCTCCCACAGTCATCGCCCAAAAACAATCCTTCCTCGCCACCCAGGCTCGCCTGCTCTCCCAACCCCTGCAACCTTCGCATGCCTGGCTCATCGCCAACGAGGCCGCCGAGTCCTCTATCCCGGACCCCGTCGTCGAGCACGTTGCTGCCCGCCTCAACACGACCTTGCTGCAGCACTCGCGACGCGCTTACTCTCACCAAGCGAGTCGTCACGTCGCCGAGCAGATTGACGTGTTGTACCTATCTCAACTGTCGGCCGCGCAGAATGACTCCTCCGAGGGTCTATCCCTCTCCTTGGACCTCTGTATGTTCTGTGTATCCCACTTCATGTAGCGCAAAGCACTAACGGAAAAACACCAAAGCCGAAGAGACAGCCGTAAGGTCGCTTCCCTTGGCATGGCCAGCCGAGCGTGACGCAACTACCTTTCCCATGGAAGTCAAAAGATATGTTGAACTCGCTGGTCGCTTAAAAGAGCTCGTCGAGCAAAGGCAACAAGCTAGAGCTCGTGTTGAGCGGCTACGGCGCATGAAGGCCCTGCTCGACCCCTTCCGCACCGAAGATGCCGGCGCGGGTGTGCAGGAAAATCTCGTTACCCGTGATGGCGAGATTGAAAAGGAGATGGAGAAGATGCGTGTCCTGCTGGCTCGTGTAGGTGGTCGCGTAGGACTTCTGCCCGTGTCCGCCGAGTCTGTAGACCTTCTCAGAGAGGACAACTCCTTAATCGTAGAGCCTGTCGCTACAGGAGAGAAGCGCAAACTTGACGATCTTCTCGGTAGCTTCTGACGGGCCAGACAGAGAGGTCCACATGAAATCGAAAGAGCAACTGTGGGAAAGTAATGATAGCTCAGGCAAAAGGATTTTGTATTCAAGTTGTAAAGTGGCGTTAGGTTCTAGGTTTTAAGGATACCCCCGGATTTATGAAAACTACTTCTTCCCTGTAATCCCGGCACGTTCATTCTGAGACGAATATCAAGCTTGAAAGTCGAACGTTCAACCCAAGGAACCAGCGCCAGGGATTGCTCTCCTTTTCTTGCCAGCATCAGAGCGAGACAGTTTTGAAGCATCGCTGAGGTCCTCACTGGTAGGCCGAATGCTCTTCTTTCTCTGTTTGATCTCTCCCTCGAGCGTGGCATCTTTGGCGCTGTCGTCCACATCCAGACCTTTTGACTTCTTGTCACCTGGCTCTGAGGTTTTTGGAACTGCCTCCTCTGGGGGATATAAGCTTGGCCGCACAACCCGAAGATTTTCAATCACCTCTTCTTGATCTTCATCCGATACCTTGGAGTACACTCGAAGTCCCACTACAGCCACAGCATTCCATGGATCTCTCTCGAACTCATCTTGCTCTTCGGCAGGCGCACCAAGGGGTGGCTGCGGCGGCAGACGATCCGTACTGGGCTCCCGTTTTTCGACAGCGTCAATTTCAAGCTCCAGTTCCCGCTCAGAAAGTTCCGACATGGATGATACACTTGCAATGCCATCGTCGTCTGATTCGCATGGGTAAGGTGCGGAACACTCCGATGGGGGTGCTGCTTCACTCATCGCCTCTTCGACATCTTGAAGGGTAGCCTCCTGCAACTCACTCCTGACGTTGACTACCTCGCGCCTATCGCCTCTGGAGTGCTGGTTTGTAGCTTTCGGGGATGTCAAGAACCCTGAGTCTTTCTCAGTATCTTGTTCAAGCATTTCAGCCGACTTGAAGATTCGAGGCATCGCTCTGTCTTTGTGGCGGGGAGAAACTAGTACGTCCTCAGTGGCCGCGGCACCCGAATTGGTTCGGCTGCCCATTCTTCGTGAATCGTTCGATAAAGACAAGTTTTTGGTTGCAATCTCTAGGCTCCCAGGTTCACCTTCCTGGATTGTGACTTTGGCCCTAGGGCTTGGTGGATTTGGAATCGGCTCAGATTGCTTCGGCGGATGAGGATTAGCTAACCTTTTGTGTGCACGCAACTTCTCTTTTGCTGCTTGGTGTTGTGCAATGCGTTTCGCCTGCTGTTTCTGAGCCTTCATCTTGGCTTTAATCCTGAGGTAATGCTCCTGCTCTCTCTCTTCGAGGATCTTGCGCTTGATCTCGGCACGTCGCTTTTCCCGCTGTCTCTTCTCGTGTGCCTCTTTGGCCGCCTTTTCCGCGGGCGACTCGACAAGTTTTCCCTTGCTATGAGCAAGGTCATAGGCCAAACCTATCCGGATCAGCTTCTCTCGGCGATTTTTGGCATTGTTGCGGATCACTTGGTCGATGGGAAGAACGCCGTCGTTTCGCACCGCATCTAATTTGACAAGAACCTCGTAGCTGCCAGCTTGAAGGTCGAGTTCAACATTCACAGATCGGTTCATGCGGTAGGATGCTTGACTCCGAACGACATAGTCCTCTTGGCCGGCTTTGTGCAGACGGAATTGCAAATCAAACCGGTATTGACCTTCCAACCCACGGAAGTATCGATCGTCTAGTTGCGCGAGTACGATCACAACGGGACCCGACTTGGAGATTGTGAACGCGAAATATGTCTCGTGGTAGTCCAGGGTCCAGGGCACCGATAGTGTTGTCCAAATGGATGTGACCTTCCATTCAGGACCGAATAACCGGGTAACGTCAAATATGTTGTATTTTTTGAGGAGATCATGGTACGAAATCCAGAAGGCGCCGTCGTCGCCAAACGTATGTTTGAGTTTCTGCAACCACTCAGGGGTCCATTCTTTGGAGCCGTCGCCTGCTACTGGTCAGTACGAGAACGGTTGTAAATGATGACTCGGAGATGGAACTCACTCCAAGCTCCTTTCCATTCACCCTTTCCCCAGGGATTCTTTAGTAGAACCAGTCTTTGACCATCCATGTCAACTGCCTTCATGACACTGTAGGCATGCATCTCGATAATACCCTTGCGTTCCCCCAGACCCCTTGATGCAAACCCAGTGGAGCAGCCCAGAAGCCAGTCTTCGTTGACCTTTAGGAGTTTCTCTTTCCAGAAGTACTCCTTGTCAAGAATGTCTGTTGTGTAGACCTCTGAGGTTACGCCACCTGTAAGGTCCTCGATAGCCTCGCCCGTGAACCCACCTTCGATGGAGGCATAGTCTCCGTGCGCCTTTGCGTACGCTTTTTCGAGAAGCGGCAGCCATGTCTCGTTAGGATTCTCACACTGAGCAAAGTAAAGCGCGCCACTGTTTGACTGATAGATACGCCTGTAGGCTTCTTCTGAATTGATGCGCTCGCGATCTTCCCAAAGAATTCGCTCCAAGTAGGGTTCGTCATAGTCGGGCTTGGTAAGGTACAGCTATGTAGCAAGTTAGGAAGAGCCTCAAGACTTTGTGAGATCTTCTTGGACTTCTCATCCAAGCCTTTCCCATTTATGCTGTCAGAAGGGCAACGGAGCATACCTTGTCATCGATGATCTCGCTGAACCACTCTCCGTCACGATGGAATACAAAACCATACACGCCAACTTCAAGGTTATGTGCAACGCAGACTTTCTCGATCAGACCAGGCTTATTACTCAGATTGCACAGCGCAGCCATAAGCCAACAGTCTCCGTCTCGGCCTTGGCGCACATCGTCCGCCGTAGGTCCGTCAATGTAGAATTGCGGGTTGTCGAAGATATCGACCACTCGCTTGACAGCCTTGGGCTGGAAAGAGGACTGCGGGGGTTTGACGTCCTTGGTGTTCCACAGGGTTTCGAGGCAGTCTCTGCGCCCAAACTTGAGGTCAAACTCGATGTCATAGTGAGGGTCTCTGTAACGTTGATTGACTCGACGACACTCGTGAACGATCTTGTCGACCTTGGCTTTGCAGACAGTCGCAGCCTCATCGTACGACGTTTGGGTGAAGATTCCAGTGGCTCTGGAAGAACGCTTTGCGACCCTCTCAGCGTACGCATTCTGAGGAATGACGGTGGTAGCTGTTGACATCAAACAAGTTCAAGTCAGCCTCACGTTGATGTTCAAGGCGATTCTCCGTATCAAAGATGCGACCGACCTTTTCCCGGAGTCTTGGTCGTAAACTTTGTCCAGAACTCGTCAATGATCTCCTGAGGAGGCTGTTGCTTCGCCTTCCGGTGTTTGGTGACGGTTACAGGCATGGTGGCTAAGTATGCTCGACGGCGCGGGTGGGGGTTCACAGACGACGCTACAATCTCGTCGGAGCTCGAGCTGGAGCTCGATATTACAGTGGAAGCCATTGCGTCTTCGTGCTCGGTCTCTCAGGCAAGTTGCCTTGGAGTCGAAGTGGAAGTTGCTGATCGCGATGTTTTTCGCGCTTGCCGACACTCGTTCAGCTGGCCAGGGCTAGCAGTCTCAGCTGAGGTGCTCGGCTTATACTCTCCTGTCAGGTGCTGCTCCAGCTCCAACTGGCAGGCAGACGATTCAACCGTGGGCAAGTTTACCTGACCAGCTCCGGTGGGTTTGAGGTAGGAGAGGAAGAACCCGCGAAGACCGTCTACGTTGGTCAGGGTCAGGCTGGGGATGGCGGGAAGGAACAGCATACGGTGGCTAACTTTCCGCAGCAGGCGCAGGCCACAAGCAGTGACCTATTTATCCAGCTTAGGGTGTTCCCGACGTTTAGCTTATGGAATGAGGCTCTGCAGCCTGCTGCATCGACGTTGGGAGAAGTTCTGAGTTGGGTGATGTTGACCATCGGATGACCCAGCCGTACGGAAAGCATCTATAGTCTTACAACATGGTTGTGTGCGACCCTCGTGACATGGTCGCCCAGGCAGAATGAGGCGGCTGGCAGATGGACAGGTCAAGATAGGTAGGCGTGGATACCTATCAGGCTGCAGCTCGAGTATGACGGCAGTTTTCTTACTTGAGATGGCGTGGTAACGCAGACTGCAGCATGCAAATCCACTACTCTCTCATACGTTGACTGCATTGAAAAATCAGCGCTTGGAAGGCAGGCTGAGGCTAGCCGCTGTTCTACCCCGCTTCGACACCAATGCCATGTCCTGGTATCCAGCTTCGTACTTATTGATGCCAATTAGGCTGGCCGACTTTCGACACCAACACCCGCAGTGTGTAAAATCAAGCGTAGCATGTTATGGTACAGGTGATCCGGTAGCCTCACTCAGTCAGACACATGGATGATGGAACACGCATGTCTACGTGTGGAATAACCTGCCGGCTCTCCCGGCATGACGAAGAAGACAAGACGAATACCGAACGTCCGGTTACACTTTCCCAGAAAGGGATTCCGGGACCGATGGTCATAGCTTTCGGCGTGCCGTTCGTACCCACTCGGGCGACTAAACTCCGTGTGCACCAGCTGGTGCCTACTCACGACCTCATGCCTCTCTGCTAGGTATTTGAAGCGCCTTAAAGCCCACCCATACGCATTATGCTGTATTATCATCCACCACATGGTCAAGCCTGACTGCATGTGACTACTTCGCAAAACTCTGGCTTGCCCGATGTCTTTAGCTTGACCACAGCTTCACAGCATCTTATACAAGTGCCGTCTCTGTCAGGCCTAATCCCTGGCCTTGGAGATCCCCTGGAGTCGTTCTACGCTTCCGCTGTATCTACTCAAAGCAGAGTATTTGTGAACTCTGCAACATAATCATCCGTCGTTAGTCGTAGCAGAGCTGGCGTATCATGCTCGTGTAGTCCCTGGAGCCTCGAGGTCGTTCCTATAGGCAGCCCGATGCCCACTGTCCAACAGATTCCCCTGCACAGCATCATCCGGTTCAGATCACCCATCACAACTGCGGCACGCCCTACCCCAGAAGAGACTCGGACAACTCAAACAACAACAGCTTCTTTTTTTTGTGCGTCACGCCACAACAGCTTTGCCGGGGTGCTCACCATTCCTCCCTTCGAAGGGATCTTCTACTCAACAACCACTTCCACCGCCCCAAAACTCTTCTTCTTCTTCTTCATAAGATACTTGGATATCTCTCATCCCCTTCCCCGAGCCCTATCTTCCATCCCAAGGATCTTCCCTACCCTGATATGCTGTGTCAGCAGTGTGGCCCATGGTCAGTTTTTTTTTTTTTAGTTTTTTTTTTTAGCTGTCCACTCAGGCCCACTACCGAGCACATAGAGGTAGTGAAGATTCTAAGCCGCGAACGGCCCCGGAATCATTGTCCTATAGAATGCCACCCTTTCCGCCGTTTGTCTGAGTCCAGTTGTGGGCAAAGGAACAGACGCCAGAAATGGGGTCGCCTCGTTGTTGGAATATTGAACCAGAAGTAGCATTGTCGAGCCAAGTTTATCCATAAAATGGCTATAAGGGTCGTGAACTTTTGTTTCCAACTGCGTTGGATAAGATGCATTCAAACGTGCTTGAGACCATCCGTCGTGAGAGTCGTTTGCTATGAAGAAAGGAAGCCTTTCCCGTTTTGTTCCAGAAAATGAATCGTGTTGATGAAGGGGAATCCGTGTAGACGCCGTGTAAAAGCAAAGGATGCCATTTGGCAGCATGCCCATTTTATGCAAAGATTGAAATAATAACCAGAATGAAAGGGGGAAGGTGCAGTTGAGGTGATGTTCAAAAGGCGTAATGATTGGTCGTAGTGCAGATAAATGAAAGCGACATCGCTGAAGAAATGCCGCAAAGGTTTTATGATGGAAGCTGCATAAAGGCGAGCCTGCCTATATCCTCAGGCCTAGCCCAAGAAGTCGCAACGTCCTGGAGAGAACATGACCAGCGGTCGCCGTCTAAGCAACGGGGGCAATGGGCGCAACAGCGGGCTGAGGAATGCCAGGGGCAGCCGACAGGTCAACGTCGTTGGGGATCTCGCCGTTGGTGTTCTTCTGGGGGCAATCGCGGGAGATGTGGCCGGCCTCGCCGCACTGGTAGCAGGTCTTGCCAGCAGTGTTAAGAGGGCCACCGTTGGGAGCGGTGCAGTCACGAGAGATGTGGCCAAGCTTACCGCAAGCATAGCACTTCATGGCCTGAGCCTGGCAGTCTCTCGCGAAGTGGTTGGGCCCACCGCACTTGTAGCAGGTAGCAGGACGTGGGCCACCGGTGAAGGCGCCACGGCCGTAGCCACCGTATCCGCCACGGGGAACCGGGGGACCACCTCGGCCCATGTTGACGCCGGCGGGGTTGGGGCATGCGCGCTTCTCAAACATTAATCCTCTGGGCATTGGTCGCTAGAAGTTGAAGTTTCTTACCGCAAGATGACCGGGCTGTCCGCAGTTGTAGCAGCGGCCGCTGGTGCCAGCACCGCTCAGGCGCAGGGTAGGGCAGTCAGCCTGAACATGGCCGAGTCCCTGGCAGTGATAGCACTGCTTTGCCTCGGTAGTACGGGGCAAAGGGCAGCCGTTGGACTCGTGGCCGGGTTGCTTGCCTGCAATCTGGCATTAGTGATATGCCTAGCAAAGCAATGAGTAGTCAGTGACTCACAGTTGTAGCAGAGACGCTCGGCGGAAGAGCAAACCTCGGCATAGTGGCCAACATTGCCACACTTATAGCAGGCACGACGAGAGAGGGAAGACATTTTTGATAATGTGTAACTGAGATTCGGTGTGTTAGCCAACAGTCAATAAGTCAGTGCTTCGCAATGTATCCAGCACAGCAGCAGCTCGAATTCCGCGAGTCGCAATCCAAAACATGACGTCGCAAGCAGCAGTAGCATCCCGATCGCAGTGTAGTCCGGAGTATCGCCTGTCCAATTTGGGAGGACCAGACGCATCTCAGGTGAGGCGCAAGCGCCGTGCTCCAGCTCAGCACAGGCGAGAGGCTTTGTGCACATATTGTAGTCTTTGATGGTCTTCCTCGGCAGAGTGTTATTTCAAGAGCCGCCAAGTATCGGATTCGCCCATTAGCGTGGTGGCGAGTAGCTGGAGTTGAGCTGAGGGATTATCCAAGCCGATCCACCGAGGGCTTTCCAGGAGAGCAGCGCATCGACTCGAGCGCAAGCGCGGGGCCGGGGTAGCGGGGATGGTAGCAAGCGAGACGGCGCAATTGTGCGACTCCGGATTCAACACTGACGGAGGGCCGAGAATCGGTTACCGGGTCGATGTGGCATGCGGCAGGCCGATGCGGCTGCGGTTGCGGTTGAATTTGGAAATGGTGGGCTAAATTGGATCGCTGCATTGTGTTCGCGGTAGGGCACACGACTGTGATGCGCGAAACTCGGCGCAGATGCGCGGAATTGCGACCAGGCCAACAATGGGCGGGGTTGGCGCATCATTGAAGCCGGTCGCGTTGCGCAATCGAGTCCGACTACAGAGAATTGGCGACCTGGTCTCCATATCTGAACCGAGGTAGATGGGGTGTCGATTGTTTTACTTTGCGCTCGCTGGATTGTGTTGCGCTGCGATGCGATGCAAGCCGAGTGTGGACCGAACGCTGATGCCGATGCTGACACTGACACTGATGCTGGTGCTGATGCTGATGCAAATATTGGTGCTGACGGCACAGATAGACTAGAGAAACAGCCGCCGCCACCTCTGCTGCTGCTGCTGCTGCTGCTGCTGCTTGCCACTTGGTCCTCTTACTCGCTACCGTGATGGGCTGGACTTCCGGGTGCGTCGTCGCATGCACTTGATGCGACGGCAAGGCGAAGAAACGTCACGGCACCACCACATGGCAGCAGGGAGCAGAGGACGAGGGGGGAGGGTTCCCGCCGGGTAGAAGGACAGAGGGGTAAAAGGTAAGGTACCAGGAGGCGGGCGAGAGCGAATGGGAATTGTGCGGACGAGACGCAAAATGCAGGAACGAAGGGTCGAGGGCGAAACTCACCTGTTCGCGAAAAACTGCCTTTGAGAAAATCGGGGACGTCGAGTTTGTTTCGAAGAGAAAATGCGGTTGACTATGCGGGAAGGGGGGAAATAATAATTTGTGAAGGAGGAGGGGGGGTCTAGTAGTTGGGAGGAAGAGGTAAGCGCAAGTGGCCAGGTGAGAATGGAGTGAGGTAAGGCACGCGCGGTAAGGTACGGAGTAGGAGTAGGAGTATTAGCGGGGGTGAGCTCAGGTTGAATGGAACCGGGGACTGGGACCTGAGTGAGGTGGGACTGCCTGGGACTGGAACGGGAACGAATTGGATGGATCTGGAAGTGAGGTGGGAGACAGAGGAAGAACGGAGGCGAGGAAACGTGCTTCCGAATTATATTTCTCTTGCCGCCACTTGGGTTCTACATACCTACTTGGTAAGGTACGGATACTAAGGTACGGATACTAAGGTAGGCTAGATAGGCACGTAGGTAGGCACGTAAGGTAGGTAGGCAGGTACGGATACAGATGTGGTATTCCTTCCTTAAGGTAGGTGCCCATGATGATACCTTCCATCACCTTACTTACCTACCTTAGGTACCTTACCTACCTTACACAAGACAGAATGGAATGGAATGAGGTGCCCCTAGGCAAGGCAGGTGGCAACTCAGTTGACGACCTGCCTTACCTGAAGGTAGGGAAGGTAGGTACTAGGCTATGGCTCACAACATCATCGGACTTGATGTTGGCGAAAATTTTTCGAAACACCACACAGAATGAGGGCGAGTCGGAACAAGGTTCTTTTGGTGCCATTTCTCACGCACTGGCATCTACGCAAGACCGCAAGGCTACCTTACTGTAGAAGAAAGGGGGTATCCGTACATGACAAGGAAACAAGACATCCCAAAGAGGATGGCCACATCCATCACGCCCAGCGTATTATCTCGTACCTTGTTTGGTGAAGTCTACCTACTTCCTCCGCCTTCTCCGCCTCTTTCCCTTCCTCCCCCCCCCCCCCCCCCCCCCCCAACGGCCTCTTCCTGCTACTTCAACTGCTCTCAGTATCTGGCACTTCATCCGTCTGGCTTTTTCTTCTCTTCTCTTCTCTTCTTTCAGGGGGACGGACACCAACAGTTAGTCACTTCTCTTCCAACCCCCTTCCCCTCATGGGAAGGTTAGGTCGTGTTGAGGGGGAACCTGAATGTACACTATAACCAAGCAAACCCCCTTCCTGAACTTGACGAGAAAGGAAAGGACGGGACCAGGCTGGCTGGATTGAGGTGCTCTGAGCGGGATGGGCTGGGTTTGACTGGGTTGGAGAAGCGCGTGTGGCAGGAGACAAGCAAAGGTGCGTGTGGGACGTCTACCTCGAATCGGCGTAGCGCGTTTGCACCAATTCAACCAATTCACTCAGTTCTGGCTCTGGATTACCTCCGTTTCTTGGTTCTTGTCCAAGGCTACGACATTCCCGCAATGGGCTGGGACTCTGAGAGCGATCACGACTTTCCTTTACGCACTACACCTACCACCACACTAACCGGCAGTCACAGAGCGCATACCTGAAGAGTGGAACTCGATCTGAGATGGTGATCAACTGGTCAATTGAAATTCGAGTCCGGTTCTCTCGGTCCGGGCACTTGGAAACCTTGTACCTCACGATGCCATGGCCCATGGAACTTGGGAAGAGTTGCACTCGCGCTTGATACGCACTCGCTTGGAAGTTGGAACTGCATCCCTTGCATTCGCGGCTTGCCCTGCACCTGCAGATTCAGTCACCCGCTACACTACTCCTCCCACATCCCATATCCGCCAATGACAGATGCTTCTCTGTCCATGATTCGATGCCTACACTCCGCTGCTCGAGAACGAAAAGCAAAGAAGGTCTAAACCCCCTTTTGATTTTCACCCCCAGCTTTCAAGCTCATGTTGGTGGAAGCTCTTACCCATCAACTTACACCTGGGAGCATGCGACACAAGAAACATCTACACAAACGACGGAATTGATAAAAGAGTTCAAAGCCGGTCCGTCGGACACGATCAGGACTCTGTCAGTTTGTCTCACATTCGGCACAGACCATGAGAGGATGAGTGCGGACCACGGGGGGCAGTAGCTTATCACGATGTCGAGACTCAGTACTCGAGGGTCAAGACTCAAGCGATCAACCAAGAGTCGTCAAAAGTGGAGGGCGGGGACAAATGATTCCCCCCTCCCCCTCCCCCCCTCTCGCCGCTCGGGCCAGGTCTCACAACGATGCCCCGACAAGTCACTCGTTACCCAAGGCCCCTACTCCCGGTAAATAGTCATCTTTTGACGAGACTCTATCTTGACGCGAATCTCGACTCTTGACCCCGTCCAAATTCCAACTCGCCTCGTTCTCAGTCCACCGGGTGACGAATTCTTCTCACACTAACTTTTCCCTCCTTCACTAGGGTCAACGGGACACGCCGCACCCAGTCCAATAAAGACAGCCTGTATTATCAAACAGAGTTCAAACTTGTCCTACTCAGCTCGTCTTCCGCTGCGCCAGACCTTGCCCAAATTGGAAGCGCGAGGTAAGTTTCATGTTGCCCTTCTCACAAACCTTGCCCTCACCCTGAACAACCTCACCACGTGCTCACCCAACTCTGCGTTCCATCTCTCGTCTAGCGACGAAGTAAATCAGCCAATCTCACGTAACCACTTGGTAGTTATGGAGTACGGATACTCGACTCCTGACGAACTAGAGGCCCATGTTTGCAACCTCTGGATCAAAGCACAGAACAAACACGAGCGCACAAACACCCCTTGCCACAGTTCAACAGCACCTATCTCACTATCGACTTCACCATGTAGGAGGACCAGAGCTACCTCTTCACCACGCCAATTCTCTCTCTGTTGACACATGCCCCTCAGTCCAGCCCTCGTAACTCCGCGCGCTAAGAGAAGGCACTTGAGCAAACTTGGAACAGTCATCCGGGCCAACGGGGCCAAGAAACCTCACAGCGCACGCCCACCTGAATGTGCCGCCCAAGGAAGACAAGCCGGACTGAAAAAGATATGTATCAACCCCGGCCCTCATGGCGTCCATGTGGCGGTTCCTGACCCGGCCATTGTCCGTGTGCCGCGACACTTGGACATGTCTCAATATGACCTCCCCGCCCTACCCCCCTGACCATAGGTCCGAGGCTCACTTGTAAGTGGCTTGCAGGGTCGAAAAGCAGGGATTGACAGTGGGAATAGTTCTGTGAACACCTGCATTCTCGAAATCCTGAGCTTACGCAAGGCGGCCCATTAGATGACCACGGACAGCTGTTTCTGCTTGCCCATAAACGAGTTTCCAGGTTTCTAAATCTTCCGCCTGGGAAGCCAGAAGCTGCGGTGAGTATGCGGCATATAGGTCAACTGCAGCTCTGCGCAGGGGCTACCGCTACGGATTTGCTACTGCCTCGTTAATTCTGCAAGGCGGGACGCAGAACTTTGTTTGACATCTCGGTGCAGCCACAGAATACCGCCCGTACTAGGCACGTTGCTGTGTTCCCACACCAAAAGGTAGTGATGCCCTTTTCCCGCTTGGGAGTTGAGATCAACCATGTTCTGCAGAGCCGCCAGGCCAGATCGTCCGGGGTAAATGTAAGCCCAGCCATGCTGTGGAACCAATCTCGCAGGACACCCCGCAGCTACCAGTCGTCATGCTGAACAATTTTCGAGATCATGGTTTGTGCTGTCATATGTTTTGTTTTTCCTTCTTGTAGATATTTTCTACATGACTCTCCATTCGAAATCGCTTGTGTCATGTCTCCTGTCTTATATTACACTTTCGTACCTCTTTGGATGCCAAACGGGCTCTCAGTACGAACATCACCATGCCGCGGCAGTTCAATAGTACCGCACGTCATCGCCTCTGCTTCTGCTGCCTTCTGCGCCGCTTCCTCAAGTTGAAAAATAGTACTTCAACGTCTCAATGCTCTCACAAGTACCACCAGCGCCCTACGCGTCAAAAGCCATCCAATATAATAATAAGCAAGCCCCTTCTCTCCGCTCATGGAGTGCAGCTTCTTTTCTTTTCTTTTCTTCTCTTTTCTTCTCTTTTGTCATCACCGTGACAGGTTGATTCTCGTTTATACGTTTACCATGCACTCCTGTGTTCACCCATCCGCCCCCGTTCGGAAGGATGTGTAGGTAGTGGGGTAAGTACGTCAGTCATTGCTGCCGGGGCCATGGATCGGGGTCGAGCTTCGACGACGTAGCTCACCCCATCCTCTGATGCGTATGATGGTGGTCGAGGACCAGTGCTGCTTTCTCCGCGACTGGATGCCTCCTCATTCGGCGCGGCATTCGGGTTGCGCTGCCAGTAGATGCGGTTGGGATCAACCCTCTGGATGGAAGTGTCAGTCCAAGACTCCCTCACGTGTAGTGCCACACCGATAAGTATTACATACCACACTCTCTCGCCAGAGACCGTAGGCTGGGGGCTTAGCCAAGACCGCCTCGCTGACCTCCCCTTGCTCCTCTTCATCACGCGCCAGCACGACTCGGATCGGTTCTCGTGGTACGGCGTAGCCGCCGGGTGCCAAGAGTTGCGGCATCGGCGGCCTAGCCTCGTCGTCGGCCCGTGGTCGGATGACGAGCATGCATAACCGTATCAAGCCGTGACAGAAGAATATCGTGACGAACAGAATGATGAGAATCAACAGCACGGTAAACTCGCTACTGCGAATATTTTGAGTGAGGGAGAGTGCTAGATCTGTTCAAGTGGTTAGCCTTTGGTGATATCACGCTAAACGATCCCCGTAAGCAGGGCTCGGGCACCACTTACAGACGGCGAGGAGGAGCGTTAGGAATCCGCCAGAAATGAAGCATCGGAGGATCTGAGATCGCATGCGCCGTGATTGTGGCCATGGAATACAGAGCAGGAATCGCTTTGGATGCCCCTCGCTGTTTTCGTCCTGTTGCTGTCGGCGATGTGCCCGTCGTCTGCGCCGCCGGCCTTCCTGTGCCATGTTCGCTAGATGCATCTCTGCGGGATCTGGCCCGGTGAACCTCCTCGTCCCGCTGGAGGTTTCGGTTTCGGGGCGCCGTGCGACAGGCGCCGGCATTGTCACACGGGTCGTAGCTGGCGGTTGTCCGGCTCTACTCGTCGTGGGCGGTTCGTGGGAAGAAGACTCGTCGACTCGGCTCAGAGGTTGTTGTGATGTCGAGTGAGGTCGCGAATCGGTGCCATTGGAACCGCTGGTCCATGTTCTCGCGAGGTGTGGCAGGTTCAGGCGGGTTCCTGGCAGCGTCGGGAGGCCAATGTTAAACCGTGGTGTTTTCGGGCTGTCGGATTCCTCGTCTTCTAATCTTTGCATCCCGTTGCCGGGACGCCTCCGTGAGGAGAGGGAAGGCCTTGTGCCAGGCAAGCGCCTCGACCGAGGCCGTGAGCCTTCTTCCATTTCTGGTTGTGTAGATGGCCCTGCCAGAGCCTGCTGCTCGATATCCTCCCCCTGTGAGGAACGTCCTCGCCGAAGAAATGCCATGGCGAGTAAGTTGAGTTATATGCCAGACACTTTGCCGTTGAGAGTTGGCAGATGAGCTGAAGTTATCACTATTCAAGCTCCTCTCATTCTTCAGTCTATATGTCGGCTTAGTGAAAGCAAAGGTCGTCGAGTGTTTCGTCGCCGTCCAGCGGAAGTCGCCAATGTCGTTGGAGGCGTAAAGCGCAACGGTGAAGTTCCCCTGTTGGCCAGTTGCACAAAGGAATCGAGTCAGCCGCGATAGAAAGAACAAAGGCTATCTTGTCTCCTGGTGCGGCAGTGGCGGGCTAGTAGCAACGGCTGGGAAACGGCCGCAAAACACCGCTGACGGTCGTCGATGACTTGACGGCGCCTTGATTGATAAAAGACGTCCAAAGGGATGGCTAGGGGCGCCTTGAGTGGTCGAAGGAAGGCTGATAGTCGCTTTCGCAGGAGAACAGCTTGGAGGGGAGGGTATCAAGAAGGGCAACGTTGGCTAGGTAATGTAGCTCCCGGAGCTAAGAGAACAAGCGACGGTCTACAGACAGCGTTACTTAAGGAGAAGGAAGGAGGATGAACTAATTTGACAAATGAGGACGAGAAAGCCAGGCGGGCTAGCAAGAAGCAGACGATGAGAACAATGCCAAAAAGGCAGCTGGCGCCAACATGACGCTGGGCGCGATGTGGATTGGTGAAGACGGAGGAATAGATCACAGATGGAGTGAGGAAAGAAGGGAGCAATGTGCAATGGGCCAACGGCAACCAAGGTACAGGGTGGTAGGTGTCGTTTCCGAGCGTCTTCTTCGTGGTCCGCAGGCGACCTCAGCCAGCGGTTCGGTCCAAGGCAGGGCTAGGCAACGCGAGGGATGGACTATGCAATGACAAGCCAAATATGAGAGGTAAGGAGGCGTCGATGGGCTAACGAGTCTGGCGTCTGTAGCATGCGGTTGGTCTAGATGTGTGTCGTTTGGGGATCAGTGTACCGGTGCCACAGGACAAGAAAAGAAAGCGGCCAAGTTGGTCAGACAGACGCCACGGCACACCACGCCAGTCTCATCCCAGTGTATGTGGGATTCTGCGACTCTGGAGAACCTGGAAGGAGGAGCAAGCGGACGGGATAGGGGTGTTTGAGAGAGCAGGACGAGAGTAGGATCCGAGGAGGGAGAGGGGGGATTGGGGGAGGAAACGCGCAGGGTCTGCGGCATCGAGGATGTGACCAGGTTGTAATACACAATATCTGCATTTAGACCCTTGCATCCTGAATTCTTACCTACATACATACGACAGCCGCAAGGTAGTCTCGGCTTGGCCCAGACTTTGTTATGGGTGATTCATTCGTGAGTGTACTTACTTACTCCTTGGTACCTCCATACGTACGGATACGGAGTACAGAGAGATGAGGTGGGATGGATGAGAATGTATCCGTGAGGCGAGGAAGGGAAGGTACTTCGTATGCAATGAGACTGAGTCGAGGACGACAAGGATAATGCAGGAAGCCTCCCTCAGTCTTCCTCCCTCTGGGCTCTCGCAGACCTACGAATGTTGGCAGTCTGAGCTCTTGAAGACTCGGCGCAAATGTAGGAGTGCTGGACGGGTCGGGTTCACCCATCGATTGTGAACTTCTCTGACAATTGGAGTGTTGCACAGCAGCTAAGGGGGTTGCTTCTGGGGACATGGGAACCAATCGTATGGGGAGGATGAGTTGACCTCGGACACCGTCACAACTTCCCAACTAACTCTCCGTACGGCGCGTGGGAGATGGTGGGACATGCCCTCCCCGGCATAAGGTACTATGTAAGGTAAGGTAGATAAGCCTGGTAAGGTACCTAGGTATCCCGGCATGGGTACGTACTGGATTTGAAAGGGCTCAGGGGAGGGCCGGCTTGAGTATAACATAAAAAAATAAAAAAACGTGTTTCGGGTTCTTGTGTCGACGCACGCCAACCCTCATTCGGAGTAGCCCCGTTATTGCGCGCGGAGAGGGGCTCTCTCATTGGAGTTTCTGGTTGTCTTGAAGAAGGGGACGCCAACCCAGGCCCCCCTTGGTTTGGGCTGGCGTTTGGCGTTTGGCGTTTGGCGTTTTGAGTCTTCCCCCAACTTCACGTCTTCCATTTTGTCTTTCCAACTGCTCCTGCCCTCGAAGATCCGTTCCTCCGTACTGCGTATGCACAAAGCCTACAAATAGTAGTTGTAGGTCACATTGGCGGCAAAAATGGCACTCTTTCGCGCCTCATCTTAGTCTCCTCTGCGGATCATTTGTCTCGGCTGGATCCCATGACGAACCCTGGCATCGACTCCTACACCACACAGCACATACCTAGAAAAAACCCATGCCTCTTGGTCTAATGTGGGGGCTATATCGGCTCGAACCTCCACTTGTAATCAGCTATCTCCTTATAGAAAACATCCAAGATTCAAATGGGAGAGGAGCAGCCTTTCATTTGATTGTGCACGGGTAATGTGCGGACACGGGTCTCGACAATAATAGCAAAACTGCATTCATCACACTTTATCACGACAAGCCATCGTGGCCGTCTCTCTCGTACGGATACACTTATCGATGTTAGCTGCCTTGAGGACGAAGTACAAATGTGACAGCTACAAAAGGTCTTGCGATGTGTCGCCCAAATCAATCAAGACACACAAACCGGGTCACTTAAACATTCGGAGCCGAAGCCCGTCCGCGTCACCGTCCAAAGTCACTGCATTCAACACTCAGTTGTGCCCTTTCGGATTTCTACTCCATGATTCGCCCTCGGGGCGTCAGATTGCGCAATGTTCCGACTTCTGAGCTGTGTTTCTAATTCCTCTACTGTGTAGAAGCCGATAGAGTTCAACATCCCATAAACTTTCGCACCACGGCTGCGCACCACATGATTGAACGAGGAAACACGGGCCCATAACCCTTGCTGGGACATCTGGCAGTGGCCAGGACAGCGAACTGGACATACCCGTGACATTATCTAATCACCAGACTCAATCAACTGGAAACCATGCCCGTGCAAGCCGAATTACTCCTTGTTGAAGCTACGGTGCTAATCTGGTGTTTCTTGTGAATCGAACCATGCGATCTTGTCTCAAGGCCACCCTTATGAGACAAAACGAAGGCACATCGGGTGAGCATTTCTAGGCCGTGTCACTCGCTAATAAACACGCCTCGCTCAGGCTTCCTGCGTAAGCCCTATGCAGCTACCAATCGCCGGTATCGGCAATTTCTTGCAGTTCCAAGCGGCAGTTCCCGAATATGTCTGCCCGCCTTTGTCTTGTCTGATCTATTCAAGTGTTTATAAGGCGCCTGCCATCATCAACACCGAGCACTCATGCTCGTATCCCGTGTATGCCCCCGTTGCTGCCATGCCGGCATGATGTGCCTTTGCAGATGGCACTTATCAAGACTCGGTATCAGCCGCTAGGACCAAAGGTACCTAGCTTGTTGGTGATGCAATGGTATATGCAATACATATCTGTAGAGCGTCTCTGCGCCGCCTACGTACCGCATAGTTCGCACCGAAAGCATGCAGACAATTATCGACTTAGTGCAACATCAGAAGACGCGGGCTACGCGTCGACGAGGTGGCTAGTATGGAGGAAGTCCACTGGGGGTGGATTCCTTCACCGCAGCTCCCCCAGCAGCATATTCCGATCAGACGATGCGGAAAGAACTATCACAATTTGTTAGCCCAACGTCACTTGCATCGTGTAAGGAGAGGATGCTCACCGATGGGCTCCGTTCCGGGCGCGAACTCGACGCAATTGACGGTTCCCTTGTGCCCCGGAAGCTTATACATGAGCTTTCCAGTCTCACTAGACCAGATAGTTGCAGTACCGTCTCCGGACCCAACAGCTACCTTCTTGCCTTCAGAATCCCAGCTAGCCTTGATGAGGTTCTTCTCAAGGCCCATGGAAGCGCCGTCGAACGTTCTAATGGCTCTATCGGTCGGGGCAAATGGCCGAATGTCCCATGTCCTCACTGTAGAGTCCATGGCATATGAAAGCAAGGATTGAGAGTCTGGAGAGACTCTGAGTGAAGTGATCGTATCTTGATGTCCCAGCATCGAGTACACAACCGATTTTTTGCGCAGGTCCCAAACTTTGATGTCATTGTCGATGCCTCCCGTGTAGACCTCGTTTCCAGCCTCCGACATGGCAATGGCCGTGATGGGAAATTCCGTCTGAATGTAGTCTGCAGCGTTCTTTGATCTCGGATCCCACAACCCGATGGAGCCATCGTCACTTCCACTGACTAGCATATCTTCGCCTCGTTTGCTCAGGTCCACGGTATTGACAATCTCTTCGTGGCCGATGTATCTTCGTATTCTTGTTCCATTCTCGAGGTCCCAACTTGCCAGATGCGTGTCTGCCGAAGCCGAGAAAACTATTTTGGAGTCTCTCGACCATTGCAGATCTAAGATTGCGCCTCGATGGCCATTGAGAAGGCCGTAGTTTTCGCAATCACCGTACGTTCGCCACAACACTGCTCGCGAATTAGTTTCACCGCCCCAGTGATACAGAAGGGATTTAAACTGACAAATACTTCTGTCCATAGATCCTGAGGCAATAAAATTGCCCGTTGGGTCGAATTTCGCAGCAAAGATCTCGCCCGCGTGACCAGATAGTTCCATGACCGGTGCCTGCAGGTTGCTCGTGCGCGGTGTCTGTCGGTCAGGCCGTCAGCAAGTTTCCCATTGGCAATAAGGAGTATTCGCATACCGTCTGCACTAACGCGCTGCTCTTTCCCGAGGCGTTGAGCCTTGCCAAAGCTCCTGTTGAAGATCCCACATTCTGACGCTTCACGATCATCTGGCTTGCACCAAGCTCGTCATCCGCCGGTCTCTTCTCAGCAGACATGGCTGCAATTGTCTAACGTGTATCACAAGGCTCGCGGGTGTTCTGTTCGACGCAGGATCGTCGTATGGCGTATATCGTGCTGATTGACGTCGGTTTGGATGTCAATTGAGTTGGGCAGGCGGTTGTTAACCAAAAGAAAATGTGATAGCTGAGATCATTGGCCCATGCGAGGTTGGGATGTGGACGGAGCTTGCTTCTGCCGATCCCCGAGCAAAGGTGGGACCTCAATCCAGAGAACCTGGAGAGCCAACCTCAGTGCATCGATACTTTGCTTAGAAGTATACAACCCCGCTTAGCATGTCGTGAAATACCTCTGCGTGAGGTAGGTATCCATAACTTTCATTGCACCTCCCACAAGCTTATCTTATCTTCAACCTCATTGATGTCCACGAACGACACTTGGCACATCGCGGTACATTTGAGCCTCACGTTCAACTTCGATTAGTACGACAACCGACGACGGCAATAGCCCTGACGACCGCCAAACTCACCAACATCGAACACTTGCGACTACGATTTTTTGTGCGACGTGAACGGCCTAAAATACTCCACGTGAACGACGTGACCTGCTCGCGATCCGAGGCGACAGCCACTCTCGCGACACGGCCCGCTACCAGCCATCTGACGCCAGAGATAGCCCCCTCCCTTACTTTTTGTCAGGCGTCTACAGGAAATCATGGCCGCAAGCAAGGCAACTCGGTTGGGAGAGGAGTGCGTTTTCTAGCCAGACCCGAGCGTGGGTAGACAGAAGCTAATTGTTCACCAGAATCTGGAAGTACGTTGTGTGGCACCCGAATGCCGAAGAACGAATTAGTCTGACGTGCTTGATTGCAGAACCCGTATAGACAAGGTCAACGCTGAGCTCGTGACCCTCACCTACGGAACAATTGTTGCGCAACTGTGCAAAGATTACGACAGCGACTATGTGGAGGTCAACAAGCAGCTGGACAAGATGGGATACAACATCGGCCTTCGTCTCATTGAGGATTATTTGGCAAAGTCGAACACAATGAAGAGATGCGCAAACTTTCGAGAGACCGCAGACGTCATTGCAAGAGTACAATTCCCTTTACCATCAAGTATTGGGCCTATATGCTGACCACTGCGAACTAGGTCGGCTTCAAGATATTCCTAAACATCACACCACAGGTGACCAACTGGACGACGGACAACAAACAATTCTCGCTCGTGTTTGACGAAAACCCTCTCGCTGACTTTGTCGAGCTGCCCGACGACGAGCGAGCGCAGGACGAGCTATGGTATTCCAACATCTTCTGTGGAGTGTTGCGGGGAGCTCTTGAGATGGTGCAGATGCAGGTCGAAGCGCACTTCATCAGTGACGTTCTGCGAGGCCACGACACGACGGAGATGAGGGTATCATTAGTGCGGTACATTGATGACGAGCTTCCTCCCGAAGATGACTAGATGCGACTGCATCTTGCCATACAACATTATTCTTTACCACTACCAGAACGCAAACCTGATGCTTCAACGGGTTGTTCCGCATCGAAATAAGCTTGCCATCCGTCGATGGAAGTCTGGAAACAGTGCGCAGCTTCGATTTTCTGTTTCCTGGCGGAGATAGAGGGCGAGGCCAGCTTCATCGCCCAGCCCATGATGATGCGCCAAATGCAACCCAGTGGAATCATGAAGCAGGTGAATATCGAGGCCAGGCGTATGTCACATGTACCAAGATGGAGGCAGCAGGGAAAGCGCCTCGGCCGCAGCCATGACTTGCATAATATCAAAGAGACTTGTGCATCAGAAAGCCGCCCCTGCCAACGTGAAACTCTTAAGTTGAAGGCGGTTGTTGATATGATGTCGCTGTATTTGGGTACAATAGACTGACGGTAAGCATTGAACTTGACTGAGTGAGCACTTTAAATGAAAAAGTCCCCCACCGGTGTGGCTACATCTCTTGGTGCTCATGCTGGGAATTGAACTTGGTTACTTAGAGCCTGTCGTCGAGGAGGCTGTGGGCGAACTGATTGTTGACCTTGAACCAATCCACCACCCAGCCAATTTGTCCTGAACCCCCCAGCCGAGAGGGGCGCCTCCTGGCTGGTGACAGGAATGGACTTGAGGGGGTAAATGAGGGCTTCTCGCGGCATGTGCGAAAGGTACGATCATCACCTGCCTTCACGACTGCCGGCCGATTTTCGGGAAATGTGGGGCACAACGGGAGCCGACATGGGGCTCTTGAGACGGGAAAGTGGATTCTTCTGACAATACAGATGCAGTACGGAGTAGCCGCACGCAGTAGCGAAGCCGCCGGGGAAGTCGCAAGGAGGGCACAAGCAGCAAATGTGCACGCATGGCAACCAAGTATGTAATCTTAGCAGGATTTTCATGCGACAAGAATTTGCGAACCTCCAATCTTCATTTGTCCTTGTTGCAATGTAATGGGTCGAGTGTTGTCAAGTTTGTCAACTTTACTTCAGTCGAGATGATTATACGGAACCTTAAGCTAGCTCGAGAGGTCTGTGCTACGGCCCATGGCTTGCCTTTCATTTCCCGACTGAAGCTGTTAGCGGTAGTTAATTACGGATACGTGACAGAGAACCTGCGAGGGATGATGATTGCTCTTGGGTTTTATTGCCCAACGGAGGGAACAAGCACTTTTGAATGCCTAGGCCTCGACGCGGCAAATCGGTATTGCAGAAGCCGTCATGCAACGGGCTTGCCGGTACCTAGGGAACGAACCACGTCGATTCTCTATTCACAAACCGGTGAACACATTGATTGGAATGAGGCCGTACGTGAAATGCAATAATTGTATCCCAGGCGACGTTAGAGTCATCGTGATCATAGCTGCGTCGCGCGGCGTGTTCAAGATGCCTGTTACAGTGTGCCTCACGTGACGGGCAGGTCAAAGAAGCTTACAAGCCTAAGACGATGCTTCTAGATGTGTATGGAGCTTCCAGTTCCAGTCAGTCTTGGAGCAAGAAGCCCGTGGAAGGAAGCGAGAGGCGAGATAGTACCTTGGGTGGATCGTGGATGGAATGGTAGTCTCTGTCAGGGTTCTGCACCTCACGTCACGAGAAGCCGAAGGGCAGACGCGTCCACGGCGGATAGGCTCCTGGCTCCCACGCTCTCATTTTGACTGAGACGTTTGATGGAGCGCGTTTTGGTGCGGCCCATTCAAGATGCGACGTTAGCAGAAGTGTGAAGATTGGGTACTCCGTACGTCGGTGGAGGCGGCGCGCAGCTACTTCGTGCACTACTACCCGGTACCGGGTCATAAGCTCGACGTGCCACAACGCGACTTTCAGCATGGCACCCCGGGCTCCCATGCCGATGAGATAAGGTACCTAAGATCACTCACTACCTTACCTTAGCTCCAGGGAAAGTCAGAGACCTTAACGTGGGTTGGTGGGAACCCAAGGTTAGATAGCTAAGGTAGCTCAGAGCCCTTTGGAGCTTCAAGCCCAAGCACGTACCTTAAGGTAACGGGTACCTACCGCCGCCCTATAGCTTGGGGGCCCCTTCGAAGTCTTTCAGTTACTGGTCACCTACACCTACACAGTACTGTTTGTGTGTGGCACCCGGAGAGCTGGAAAGCAAGTACCTACGCAAGTCGGAGCCCGTGATTGTCGATTTTTTTCTCTCGCCTCTGATGGTTTGATAAACTGCCTCAGGCAACAAGCGGTCTCAGATATTCGCAGCTCATTCTGAGATATGCGACATGCCCGGCGCGGGTGCGCGCCTCACCTCGCGCTCTGCCCACCTTCCATTGCTTAAGGTACACGACTACCTTATCTACCTACTCCTTAGTAGCACTCACAAGCTACAGCGGCCTACCTGCTAATTACCCGTACCTACTTCGTTCAGTGCTCGTGAGGTCTCTAGAGTCTGAAGTCTGAGGTGAATTTGGTGGAAATCCGCCTCCCGCCCAAGCGTCGCATGCCCCAAAAATTGGGAAAATCCCCAACCCCATCCTTTCCACTCTCTCCTGGTCTTCCCGTCCGCCTTCCCATCCCGACTGTGTCTCTCTGCATCTGCATTCAAGCATTGTCGACTAATACCTTACCTTACCTTACCTCAAGGTACGGAGTAGGTGCCTTACCGTCTAACCCACAAGGCGCCCCTCTCTTTTTTTTCCCTCGTCCTCTCGCTTCCTCCGACCATCTACTCCCGCCTTTCCCTTTCCTTCCTCAAATCACCAATCCACTTCCCCCCCTTGGACATTGGATGGCCTCGCATGCCGAACACATCTTCAATGCCAACGTGGTCTCGATAACTTGTTTGTCACTCTCCAGAGTCCTCGTTCATGGTCACTGCCCTCGCGCCCCGCGAGACACTCGCCCATCTTCAAACCGACCTTGCCTGATCGGCCTAGCGACCACGGCTTGAGGGACCGATCAGTCGACCCTCGCTACGGAATAACGTCCCGCCATTCCCCACCGCTGGTAACACCGACGAAGCCAGACCTTACAGACCGACCATCCATCTCACTCACCTCACCCATTATTAGCAGCAACAGCACCACCGCCCGGAACCACGCTGGTCCACCACGCCCACATCCACCTTCACTTCGACGCTGCTCCCCCAGAGAGAGGATTCCCCCCCCCCCTTCTCCCCCCAAAAAGCCAAACCCAAATCCAAATCAAATAGGTAGCCACCCAGAAGAGGGCCACACTGCCATACCCTGAGCTACAGCCTGAGCCAGAGCCTGAGCCAGAAACACCAGGTCTTCCTACCCCCGACCCCCGAGTCGCGCTGCTTCCCTCCTGTCTCTCATCTTTCCACTCTTCCCATTTCCTTTCAAGAGTCCCACTCCCTCACCTGCAACTGCCTTTGGTGGCCCATCCCGTCGCCCTTCCGCCTTCTTCAACATCTCGCCCTCGCATCAATCCTCCTCTTCCTCTCCCCTCCAACCCAAATCCGCCACAGCCTCTGTCGCTGCCACGTCTTTCGACTCTTTTTTTTTTTTTTTTGCTTTCACCTGTACCAAATCGTCTCACCACCGCCATCATCATCGGTCGCGCATCCCGCCATCTCTTGCGCGCTTCTGTCCGCACTCCCCAGCCCTTCTCTTATCCATCCAACTGAAGGCTCCTTGTGCCCCTGCGCCCGACCGCTGAATCCGACACGACTTTGCCGCCAGCCGGCTTTTTAGCGCACCGCGTAACCACGTACACGCTCTGCGACACTCCCACCTCCAACCACAAGGTGGCTGACCGACAAACTTTTGACGACATCGACACTCTCTCTTCGCTTTCGATCAACCACCATCTTTCAATCAACTTCTCCTTTATCCATCGCATCGACCTCACCCCATCTCGCTGGGCAGACGCTTGTCTGCAGCCCGGCTCGCAATCATGAACGCCAACGTCAATCCCAACATGGCCAACATGAACGCCATGGGCGGTGGCCCTGTTGGCGCGCCCGTCCCCATGATGAATAATGGCGCAGTTGCTCCCCAAGTCGCCGGTGGTCCACGACAGATGACCATGCCCACCGAGAGCCAGCGCACTCTTCTCAATACCTACATCTACGAGTACTTCCTCCGCCATCAAATGTTTGATTGCGCTAGATCTCTCCTTAACGGAGACCACCAAGTGAATGTCATGAAGGATGGCGCCAATCGTCGGAGGGATGAGAACGGTAATCTCATCGGCAATGGTCTCGGTGACGACCCCATGGACACGGACTCTAAAGACGATATCGACGCGAAGCTGCCTGATGACCTTCCCGCCCCCAAGTTGCCCATGCCCGCCTCAGAATCATCCTTCCTGTACGAATGGTTCTGCCTCTTTTGGGACATCTTCCACGCGCAACGAACAAAGGGTGGCAATGGTCCTGTCAACCAATATGTCAGCCATACTCAGGTATGTCGTTCACTATCCGTTGGCGGTTCTTCATCGATGTTTGGATCATCACTAACCGAGCCGAGTAGCAGCAATCCCGCATGCGACAGAACCAACAGCAAGAACTTCTCCGACAGATGCGCCCAGACGGCGGCATGGCCGCTCAACAGCAATATCACTCCCAGATGATGCGCAACATGCAAAATGGCGGTATGGCCATGAACATGCAAAAGGGCAACCTGGCAAGGGCAGCCATGGCGAATAACCAGAACAAGTGAGGCCTCACACATGCGTGCTTCCCTTCATCATGTGGATGTTTGCTAACCCAAGCCCCGCTCCAGTCCTCAGGCCATGCAAATGCTTCAGCATGCGAAGCAAACCCAGATGCAGCGAGATCCCTCGGACATGGATGGCAACCGCCAGCGCCCCTCGTCGCCTGGCAGCGGTGAAAACGCTCCCTCCCCTTCCAAGAGACCACGCCTGGACGGTGCGCCCAACTTCCCGAACCAGCCTGGAATGATGCCGAACGGAAGACCTCAGCAGGGCATGCCGGGCCAGCAGGTGGGGACCACCCCGAACGTAGCTCAAGCCCAGCAGATGCTCATCACCAACGGA